AGCCCCAGTATTACAGCCGTTATTTTCACTACACCCAGCCAGGTGCTGGGCGCTTTGCAGAGCAAATTGAAAAACAAGGTTCCTGCCGCAAGAGTTTTTCAGTCTTCTTATGGCGTGGCACCCCACCCCACCCCACCCCCTGCGCCGTAACAAACAGCAGGGAAGGCCCAAAAGATCACGAGATTACTGAACTCATTGCCATTAGCTGAAGTATTATATCAATCAGCCAGGAGATGTTTCACAAAACACTAACAAAACCCTCGCCCGTACCAGCAAGCTCCTGTGCAATTCATTTACTTTGAACCTGTGTGTAACAGACAGAGACTGGGCTAAATTCAGAGGCAAGCAAGTCAGCGCGAGGGAGTGTAGCTGAGCCTGAACTGATGTCAAATACACCCCACGCAGGGTGTACAGGAGACCATCTCAGGGATTGTCTCGTTTCGCTGGATGGGTTTGAGATTGTTCCGGCTGCACTAGTGCAAAGCCCGAACGGAGACACGCTTGAACTGGTTTGAGCCACACTGTAACCAGTAGAGGGGTGCAACAGGGTAAATAGTTGGATATTAAACAGATCCAATTACATCAGTGACCCCTTCCCAACACACAGCAGGCCTCAGCCTCTTTCACAATCAGACTCATATCCCCCTCTAGCTCATCACCTCTGAATTTGGCTCACTGTGGTAATTCACCTCCATGGGGCAGGAAGAAAGGGCTGAGCAGGAAAAATAACTAATGGAAGGATTCCTGGAGGGGTGAGATAAAGTCCTGCTTTAACTTCTCTCTTTATCCACCTTCCAGCTGCACAAGGTGTAAATGCCATCAGAGTAGATTCCCCCATTCATACACATAACAGGCAGTTAGCAAGTTGTCTCCATGGTTTAATTGCTTTCATTCTGATTTAACACCTGGTGGAGTTAGCTGAACTGAGGCAAACTCCTTATTTCTTCGGGTGCAAACCTATTTCTAATCAATTGGAGCTAAACCAAAATAAGAACGTCCACACAGGAGTTTGTGCCTGGACAATTAAACCAGTTTTGAGTCACACCTTCAGTTCAACCAGTGGAACTTACTAGTGCAGACAAGGGCTTAAGGGAGTCTGGCCTATAGCACCATACGCATCATCTCTGCACTGGTTCCCCTAGAGCCCACTTCTCTAACTCACTCCACTGAGCCAGAGCCACAGGACTCACAAGTGTGAAAGGCACCTAGCTGAGAGGTAAAACAGACCAACTGGGGGCAGATCCTCAGCTGGTATGAACTGCCACAGCTATGACAGCTTGCACCAGCTGAGAGTCTGCCCCATTGAGTGTATATGTACCAGTCTGTACAGACCAAGGATCCAGTCCTGCAGTCCTTAGCCAGGCAAAGCTCCCAGTAACCTCAATGGGCATTAGACTGAGCAGGGAGTGCAGCATTAGGCATTCTATGATTCTATTTTAGATTGGATATTAGGAAAAACTTTTTCACTAGGAGGGTGGTGAAACACTGGAATGCGTTACCTAGGGAGGTGGTAGAATCTCCTTCCTTAGAGGTTTTTAAGGTCAGGCTTGACAAAGCCCTGGCTGGGATGATTTAACTGGGAATTGGTCCTGCTTCGAGCAGGGGGTTGGACTAGATGACCTTCAGGGGTCCCTTCCAACCCTGATATTCTATGATTAGGCCCCTAGACTGGGAGCTCCTTCCAGGCACCTCAGTGCAGGGTAGAAATAGTCACTAGCAGTTGGACCTAGGCCTGAAGCAAACCTTGGATTTGAACATTCCTGAACTAAAAAGAAAAGGAGCACTGGGGTCAAAAGGCTGTGAGTCTACTTTAAGTTATAGAAAAGGAGTACTTGTGGCACCTTAGAGACTAACCAATTTATTTGAGCATGAGCTTTCGTGAGCTACAGCTCACTTCATCGGATGCATACCGTGGAAACTGCAGAAGACATTATATACACACAGAGACCATGAAACAATACCTCCTCCCACCCCACTCTCCTGCTGGTAATAGCTTATCTAAAGTGATCATCAAGTTGGGCCATTTCCAGCACAAATCCAGTTTTCTCAGCCTCCGCCCCCCGCCCTCCCCACAAACTCACTCTCCTGCTGGTAATAGCCCATCCAAAGTGACCACTCTCTTCACAATGTGCGTGGTAATCTAGGTGGGCCATTTCCAGCACAAATCCAGGTTTTCTCACCCCCCCACCCCCATACACACACAAACTCACTCTCCTGCTGGTAATAGCCCATCCAAAGTGACCACTCTCCTTACAATGTGCGTGGTAATCTAGGTGGGCCATTTCCAGCACAAATCCAGGTTTTCTCACCCCCCCACCCCCATACACACACAAACTCACTCTCCTGCTGGTAATAGCCCATCCAAAGTGACCACTCTCCTTACAATGTGCGTGGTAATCTAGGTGGGCCATTTCCAGCACAAATCCAGGTTTTCTCACCCCCCCACCCCCATACACACACAAACTCACTCTCCTGCTGGTAATAGCCCATCCAAAGTGACCACTCTCCTTACAATGTGCGTGGTAATCTAGGTGGGCCATTTCCAGCACAAATCCAGGCTTTCTCACACACACACACACCCCCCCGGAAACACACACACTCACACAAACTCACTCTCCTGCTGGCAATAGCTCATCCAAACTGACCACCTTGATTATCATGCACATTGTAGGGAGAGTGGTCACTTTGGATAAGCTATTACCAGCAGGAGAGTGAGTTTGTGTGTGTGGTTTTTTGGAGGGGGGTGAGAGAACCTGGATTTGTGCAGGAAATGGCCCACCTTGATTATCATACACATTGTGAAGAGAGTGGTCACTTTGGATGGGCTATCACCAGCAGGAGAATGAGTTTGTGTGGGGGGGGGGGGAAGGCGGAGGGTGAGAAAACCTGGATTTGTACTGGAAATGGCCCAACTTGATGATCACTTTAGATAAGCTATTACCAGCAGGAGAGTGGGGTGGGAGGAGGTATTGTTTCATATTCTCTGTGTATATATAAAGTCTGCTGCAGTTTCCACGGTATGCATCCGATGAAGTGAGCTGTAGCTCACGAAAGCTCATGCTCAAATAAATTGGTTAGTCTCTAAGGTGCCACAAGTCCTCCTTTTCTTTTTGCGAAGACAGACTAACACGGCTGCTACTCTGATTCCTGAACTAGGAGTTCCAGACTCATGCCACACTCCTCTCCCCGCAGAGATCCCCCAGAATTTTCTACCGTCTGCTTTTATGGGGAGGGACGTTCACGTACAAGGAAACAATGGTCCCAGAGGGAGGCTACTGGGTAATGCTTAACTGGAGAGAGACTCTCTCCCTGTTAACTTCTACTGGGTGCAAATTACACTCCCTTAAACACTCCCCTGCTCACTGATGTGTAACTTATACCCTCTCTATACATCCTTTTGCAATCTGGCCCACGGACTAAGAGAATCTGCACAGGTGTAACTCACCCACTGACGGAGGGAGAGAGCAGGGAAAGGTGCTACCTGAGGCCGGATTCTAATCACACCCATGTAACTCAGGAGTAGCTTCCCTGAAGTCAATGGAGCCACACTAGTAGGAAGCCCACCTAAGATCAACTCTTCCCCAGGAAGGGGTGCTTTCCGTTGACCAAACTCCGCCCTCACTTGCCTCTTCTTCGGTCTCCCCCAGCTTGTAGGTCACACCGCCTACCCCTTGGGTGAGTCATGCCACCTTGGAATCTAGTCCAAGCCCTTATCAATCTAAATTATCTAATAAAGAACAAACAGATCCCATTCTGGATGCTGGCCCTGTATGGAATGGAAGGCCCCCCGGGTGAGTCCATCCATAAATCCAAAGTCTCTGGAGAGACAAGCAGGCTTTCCATTCCCATGCAAAACCCCCTTTGACTGGACTGGAATCTCTCTCTCTCTCTCTTTTTTAATTCCTCGTTTAGATTCAGTTATTAAGCTGGCTCTGCCACTGGGAACACAGGGATCTCAGAGCCAGTCCCACCTGGGGACTGGGGAGCTCATGGGATCAGCTCTAGAACCCCAGGGTTCCAGACTAGAAGTTCGGGTCCCACCGGCCCCTGGCCCAGCAGGGGAGTGTATTTCATTCCCTTTCCTCTCTGCGGAAGCCAGGAGGGGCCATGACTTTCAGACAGGCCCCGTGGCGGCCAGCCGGCTAGTTGGTAACACGGGGCTCTCGGCTGACATGTCCCTTTCTTAGGGTTAAATGAAGGGAGAGGGATTTTACACTGAAAAACACGTCAGGAAAACCAAGTCCCTTCCCTCCCCCCAAACTCCTCTAATGGGCAACAGTGTCCTGCATTGAGGAGCCGTGCCCCAGGCCCCAGAGGGGCTGAGCTGGTTCCACATGAATGCCCGTACAGTGTGCAACGAAGGAGGGGGGGGGGGATCTCAGCAACGGAGCCGTGCGCTGATCTGGGGGGAGATGTGCCCCACCCCCCATGCCTTTACCTTCCCCCCAGCGCCAGCTCCGGAGCCAGCCCGCTGGGAAACTCAAAGGAGCCTTTGGGCGGCTGTTAAGATGCAGAGGGGGAGGGACACAGGGGCGCCGATGGTGCAAAACACCCCCCCCCCCCGACCCAGCCCAACCCAGGATTTGGTCCCGAAAAGCGAGCGGCGTGGGGGGCTTTGCGAACGGGGCCGAGCTGCGCTGGGGATGGAGGAGAAGCAGGCGAGCCCCGGGGGGACCGGACCGGCGACCTGCCCATGACAATTCCCCCAGCCCGACTCCTGCGGTGACTCCCCAGATCGTCACCCAGCCCCCTTTACAGCCACGGCAGCGCTCCCCGCTCATGGGCGCCGAAACCCCGCCCAGGGGCACCCCCGAACCCGGAGTTCCCCCGGGGCTGACCGCGCCTCTCCAAACGCTTTGCCCCAAAGCCGGTCCGGGGGCGGCAGAGCCCAGCTCGGCTGCAAAGTCTTTGCCTCAGAGAGAAAAGTGGGGGGCGATGATCTCCCCGCATCTCCTTGCCAGCCCCCTGGGGAAATCAGCAGAAAGCCCAGGCGCACTTACCACTGCAACATGCTGGGGTCCTGGGACTGAGCTAGCGGTGCTGCTGGATCCTGAGAGGCTCCCTCCTTCCCTCCTGGTCCTGGGGCTACACAGCTGCTGGGAACTCACAGGGCTGGCTTGGCTTTGCCCTCCTCCCTGCCGGCACACAGAGCCCTCTGTGCTCACTGGCCTGCTCCGCAGATCTCTGCCTCTTTCCTCCCCTCAACTCACTGAGGTGGAGCCTGGGCTGCAGGTATTTTAACTCTTCAGCTGCTGGGCTGGCAGGATGCCTGCCCCGGGGCCAAGGAAGCCAAGGGGCTCTGCCCTCTGTCCCAGCGAAGGCCTGGGCAGCGCCATGTCAAAGGGCAACGGGCCAGGATTCATTGGTGGTGATTGCCCCATCGCTGGGAACGAGCTCCCTGCACCAGGCCCTCTTGCCATTTTGCTTTCATACCCGCTGGGTGCCGGGCGACTTACCGCTGGGGCCCGTCGTCCCCAAGCGGATCACTGTCTAAGGTGGTGGCATCTTAAATAACTTCCTCCCCATATAGCAGAGAGGTGTTCTTAAATACAGTTAACAATCCAATGTTGTTATATCACTAGAATGGGCCCCAAGCCAAAATCCTATTGCCAAACACACATGAATTTGGGGGAATGTCTGAAATCTCAGCTGTGATCTGGATCCAAATTTTGTGGCTTGAGCCGATCTTTTGCAATAGCCTAGCTTGAGTTACAGCGAAATCTCACAAACCTGGGTGACTGGGCAACAAAACGGCAGATGAAATTCAATACTGATCAGTGCAAAGTAATACACGTTGGGAAAAAAATATTCCCAGCTATACATACACAATGATGGGTTCTAAGTTAGCTATTACCACCCACTAAAGAGATTTTTGGAGTCACCATGGAGAGGTCTCTGAAAATTTCTGCTCCATGCACAGCTGTGGTCAAAAAGGCTAAATGTTACAAACTGTTAGGAAAGGGATAGAAAATAAGACAGAAAATATCATAATGCCACTATATAAATCCATGGCGCACCCAACACCTTGAATACTGCGTGCAGTTCTGGTCCTCCCATCTCAAAAAAAGATACATTAGAACTAGAAAAGGTTCAGAAAAAGGCAACAAAATTGACGAGGAGTCTGGAACAGCTTCCATATGAGAGGTTTCAGAGTAGCAGCCATGTTAGTCTGTATTTGCAAAAACAACAGGAGGACTTGTGGCACCTTAGAGACTAACCAATTTATTTGAGCATAAGCTTCCGTGAGCTACAGCTCACTTCATAGGATGCATTCAGTGGAAAATACAGTGGGGAGATTTATATACATAGAAAACATGAAACACCCATTGGGGTGTTACCATACACACCATGCATCCGATGAAGTATGCTGTAGCTCACGAAAGCTTATGCTCAAATAAATTGGTTAGTCTCTAAGGTGCCACAAGTCTTCCTTTTCTTCTTCCATATGAGGAAAGTTTAAAAAGACAGGTCCATTCAGCTTAGCAGAGAGAGGACTTGGGGGGATATGAGAGAGGTCTATAACAGCAGGAACGGTGTGAAAATAGTGAATAGCAAAGTGTTATTTACCCTTTCACACAATACAAAACCCTGGGGTCACCTGTTGCAATTAAACTTAGTACAAGCAAGACAAAGTGCTTTTCCACACAATGCACAACTAACCTGAGGAACTCATTGCCATGGGACACAGTGATGACTGGAGTTCATGGAGGACAGGTCCACCAGTGGCTATTAGCCAAGATGGTCAGGGATGGAACCCCATGCTCGGGGCAACCCTAAACTTCTGACTGCCAGAAGCCAGGAATGGAAGAGAAGGATGGATCACTCCAAACCTGCCCTGTTCTGTACACTCCCCCTTAAGCTGTGGTACGGGCCACTGTCAGAGACAGGATACTGGGCTAGATGGACTATGGTCTGATCCCGTATTGCAGCTCCCATGTTCTTCTGTTCTTATCTGTAAGGGAAAAGATCTATTGTATTTTCTTCCCAGGGTGAGCTTCAATCATTGAATAGGTCTGAATGTCACCCGTACAGTTGCCTTATCTACATCAGCATTTCTACTGTTGCCATCACCCAGGAAAGCGAAACCAATCATGAGATTAACCTTACACTTGCGTAGCCATAGCTATTACGTGCATTCTCTCCCTGTGTTTGATTATCGACTCTATCTGATCTTTCTCTAACCTCACACCAGGAAACAATGCCTCAGAGCTGAACTGAAATCCAAGGTTTGGCAAGTTTTACTGTGCAATTCATGCAATAAGCAAATATGTGACCAAGAAACTGACTAGGTTTCATTTCCAAGTTCATAGGTAATAGTCCAGCAAACCAAGCTCCTAAGTAACTATAAAATAACAGAAGTGATCCGATAAAGATAATTTGCCTGTAACTCTGCGTGCATACGTGTGAGCCTCTGCTTCCTGATCTACACTACAAACATATGTGCGTATAACTATGTCACTCAGGGGGTGGAAAATCCACACCCCTGAGCAAAGTACTTATACCCACTTAACCCCTGGCGTAGCCAGCACTCTGGCAACAGGAGGGCTTCTCCCATGGACATAGCTACTGCCTCTCAGGGAGGTGGAGTACCACCAGAGAAGCTCTCCTGTCAGCGTAGACAGCATCTTCAATAAGTACGCCAGCGGAGCTGTAAGTACAGACGAGCCCATAGAACTGGGGGGCTGGAACAATGTGTATTGGGGGGGGTGGCTGAGAGCCACAATGAACCAAACTGTAAACCCCTAAAGTGTTAGATAAGCTATTAGCAGCAGGAGAGTGGGGTGGGAGGAGGTATTTTTTCATGCTTTGTGTGTATATAAAAAGATCTTCTACACTTTCCATAGTATGCATCCGATGAAGTGAGCTGTAGCTCACGAAAGCTTATGCTCAAATAAACTGGTTAGTCTCTAAGGTGCCACAAGTCCTCCTTTTCCTTTTGCGAATACATACTAACACGGCTGTTACCCTGAAATCTGTTCTATACTGGTGCTTACCTGAAATCCATGGAAGTTAGATGTCTAATCCAGTCACGTGACTACCATCTGTCCCGTGTGCTTCCTCATCCTCTCCCCAGGGAGAGACCCGTGTGCAATGGAATGTCTCGTTTGGGGATTTTGCGTTGTTGCACGTGTGGTTTTATGGCATAACTTTTCACACTATTCAAAGGCAGGGGCTTTTGCCGTTCGTTCCTTCATTTTGTTTCCAGGAGAAAGGCCACTGATGGGATGTTACCCGAGTGTCCCCTTTAGAGCAACCTCTGGGTTCCGAACTTCCACCCAGCTAAGCAGAAACGTTAGCCACGTCCCTCCCAACTTCCGGCAGACCCACTGCACCTCAGTAGCAGGAGGGAGATTGCTGCTGCAGATTCAACTTAAGGCTGGTTTTAAAGCCCTGTCACTTGAGAACAACATTTCCCAAATGTGGGTCCCGACCCACCCGCGGGTCGTGGGAAGGTTCTAGATGGGTCACGGGGCCCTTGGCAAACATACACTTCTGCCAGCCTGGTGCAGAGGGAAGACCGGGAGGAATGTTAGTGTGTTGTTATTTGAGCCAGACCTGTTCTCTCTCCCTGCTTCAGAGCTAACTGCGGCTTATCACTTTAATACCGCACTTAGTTTAGCAGAAGTCTCATTGTAATCCAGGGAAAAGGCTTGGACTGGTGTGGCCTGTATTCACATTTTGTGCGGAATGCAACATGTTACAAAACGGCACATAAACAATTGCCGGGCTGAATCAGACCAGTGGCCTAGCAAGTCCTGTCGCCTTTTCTCCGAGAATGGTCTGGACTCCTTACATGTTTTTAATTCCATCTAATCTAACTGGGGCTGTCCTCGCTGTCCATATGAATGTTTAACTCTTTTTGAGCCCCACTCAACTCGGTGACCTACAGTGGCAGTGAGTTCCACAAGCTAATCACGCGCCGTCATCAAGGCCAATGAAAAGCCACATACGCTGCGGTTCAACCCCCAAGGAACTGAAGTAGCAAACCAGTGGCCTGGGACTGAAGAGCACCTTTCTCTTGCTTTAGTCCAAATCTCCCAAAGGCCGCACACTAGTCGAAACTCTGAGCCAGCCCAGAAGCGTGGTGCTCAGGAATCTCCTGCAAAATCTAACCCCCTGAAACTCTAGGTGTATAATGGAACAAGTGACTCCACCTTAATCGTAGCGACGGGCACTCGCCTCTGGCAGGACAGGTACAGTGTGTGCTCAGCACACCATGGCCAGCCCCTCTCCCCACCCACAGTTTGCACACCACACCCTGGCCAGCCCTACCTGCATGGCAACAGCAGGGCCATTGCTCACAAACAGACCTGCCGGTCACTACCCCACAGGAGACAGAGGCGCTCCCACAGCTGATGCCCTGGGAGTGCCCCCCTCTCCATCGAGGCACCTGCCACTCCAGCCGTGCACCCTCCCCATGGGGAAGAAACGGTTCCCCCCATCCCACTTCCTACAGGGAGTGGATCCCTCCTGGCCCCATCCCCCAGACCAGGGGAGTCACCAGATGCTACAGTGATGTGTTTATTTCCCTTCAATGTGTGTACAAATGGGACTTGCAGGGGTACCAGCCCCAAACACCATGAGTAGCAAGGAGACCCTAGCAACACATTAACAGAGTCAATCTCCTCTCCAGGCTTTGCCCAAGGGGCCATGATTAACATTCCCGGCCTCGCCAGGCGGCTGGATGCAAAGGAGCAGGGCTCTAGGCAGCCCCCCGAGGGGGTCAGGATAGGGAGAGGGGAGGAGGTGGAACCTGACCAACTTGAAATGCCAGGCAAGACTCTGCTCCCCCTCTCGGCACCTGGAGCGCTGGAGAACCCAGCCCCTCTCAGCCATTAAACTGACTCTGGGCTCAATTTTAGCCAGGCCGCTGGGAAACAGCCACGCCACCCCTAGGAGCTGGGGCACTCACTGCAGGGCCAGTGCTATTCAGTGGTCCTTCGCTACAGAGCTCTGTGCCCTGCTCCTGCTTGAGAGAGGCAGCGGGGGTGGGGGCGTCACGACACTTTCAGGAAACGCCCCTGTTCTGGCCAAACTGTGCCCAGCACAGGAAGCGGGGGGGACTTCGTGCCCACTTTGTACCACCTTTATTCTGGGGCAGTTCAACCCCCAGCGCAGGGTGCAGCAAACTGAAGACTGCTCTAAATTGCACCCATGGCCTGTGCAATGCAGGAGGTCAGACTAGGCAATCATAATGAGCTAATCTGGCCGGAAAGGCTACGAATCTACATATCGACGGCCTGCTCCG